TTTTTTTTTATGTGCAGACAAGCTTGTTGTCTCGACCTCCAGCTCACTTCTCCACACGGCTGTCGATCTTGTTAATGAGACTAAGTTGGATCAAGAAATCAAGTCATGGCTTGCATTCGCCGCGCAAAAGGTTGTCGAAGTGAATGCTCTGGCGAAGGCACTTGCTGGCCAGAAAGATGAGGTAAATCTCACTGCTAATTCAAGAGCACGAATCCAATTTAAGATTGAATCTTGCTATTAAACCCTTAAACCTTGAAATATTATATTGTACCTGCAGGCCTTCTTTTCTGCAAATGCTGCTGCTCAAGCTTCCAGAAAATCATCTCCCAGGGTGACTAATGAAGCTGTCCAGAAGGCTGTAAGTAAATACTTATATTGAGATTTAGAACTTTCAAGTACCTTTATTGTATTATAATCCGTTTTGCTTGTGTTCAATCAGGCTGCTGCGTTAAAGGGTTCTGATCACCGCCGTGCAACAAATGTAAGTGCCAGACTCGATGCTCAACAGAAGAAACTAAATCTTCCGATCCTCCCCACCACAACTATTGGTTCCTTCCCTCAGACCATCGAGCTCAGGAGAGTTCGTCGTGAGTATAAGGCCAAGAAGTGAGTGCTTTTTTTTGTGGCTCTTTTTTTTTAAACTGATGGAATATGTATACAGTATACTAAAGGCAACACATTTCTTTGTAGGATCTCTGAGGAGGATTACATCAAGGCTATTAAGGAGGAGATCAACAAGGTTGTCAAGCTTCAGGAAGAGCTCGATATCGATGTTCTTGTTCATGGAGAGCCAGAGGTAAAAGCCAATCAGAATCATGATTTTGTATTGAACTATATATGAATGAGAAAAAAGGGCTAAATTGTTATTCTGATTTCGAGGAAAGTGAAGTTTGGTTGGCACTAATATATACCGGGATGTTTTGAATTTTCCAGAGAAACGATATGGTTGAGTACTTTGGTGAGCAATTGTCCGGCTTTGCCTTCACAGCCAATGGGTGGGTCCAATCCTATGGATCTCGCTGTGTAAAGCCGCCAATCATCTATGGTGATGTGAGCCGCCCGAAACCTATGACTGTTTTCTGGTCAACTGCTGCCCAGAGCATGACCAAGCGCCCGATGAAAGGAATGCTTACGGGTCCCGTCACCATTCTTAACTGGTCTTTCGTCAGAAATGATCAACCTAGGTATATAAAATAGTTTATTTATTATATTCATCTCTATATTAGCTACTTTTTTTTTTGGTCGTGAATTCTAATGTTTTTATTTCTCGGGATTTCAAGGTTCGAGACGTGCTACCAGATTGCTTTGGCCATCAAGGACGAGGTTGAGGATCTAGAGAAGGCTGGAATAACCGTCATCCAAATTGACGAGGCTGCATTGAGAGAAGGCTTACCTCTGAGGAAATCTGAGCATGCTTTCTACTTGGATTGGGCCGTGCACTCTTTCAGAATCACAAATGTCGGGGTTGAGGACACCACTCAGGTGTGTGCCTTCCTTTCCTCTTCTCCTTCACTCGAAACATTTAAATCATTTATTACTCTATTTATAGTTATAAGGGGTTGCTCCAATACAAATTTCTATACAAATATCCACTTACTTTTAACCAATTACATTTTTTTAATTCACAAAATTTAACTCAAATTTAACTCATTCCCACTCTCCACAATATTATCGATATAATTAAATAATACTAATTAATCATTTTTATATATCACATCAACTTTAATTCATTATTCGTCAACTTATATAATTTTAAATACGCATTACTTCAATCACCTTTCTCCTACTTTTACATATAAAAAAAAAAAAAAAGAAACTTGCATAATTTTAAATACGCATCACTTTCAATCACATCTCTCCTACTTTTACATAAAATCAATTTTTATCATTTTATTTTAATACAAAATAAAAATCCTGCTCTAACCCATTCAACTATTTTTTAGCCAACAAACACAATCAAAACCAAAATAAATCAAACCTAACTCATATCCAAGCACTCCCTTGAAACCATTTGTTACTCAAATCAAATTACAAGGAAAAAAAATACTCTTGAGGTTTACTATGTTAAATAGTTGCTAATAATTGTTTTCGGTCGTTCGCAAACGACAGATCCACACGCACATGTGCTACTCCAACTTCAACGACATCATCCATTCCATCATCGACATGGATGCTGATGTCATCACCATCGAGAACTCTCGTTCAGACGAGAAGCTGCTTTCAGTGTTCCGTGAGGGAATCAAGTACGGTGCTGGAATTGGGCCTGGAGTGTACGATATCCACTCCCCGAGAATCCCGTCTACCGAAGAAATTGCTGACAGGATTAACAAAATGCTTGCTGTCCTAGAAACCAACATCTTGTGGGTGAACCCAGATTGTGGTCTGAAGACCCGTAAGTACACGGAGGTTAAGCCCGCCCTCGAGAACATGGTCTCGGCTGCTAAGCTCCTCAGGACCCAGCTTGCCAGTGCTAAATGAGCCAATATTATAATGTGATTCTATGGTTTTCAAATTTCTTTTTTCAAGTCTAGAGAATGTTTCTCTATTACTACTATCAATATTTCTCTATTTCTTGACATTTTTATTTCTTTTTGGGCTTGTGGCCTTTATGTTCTTAGCTATTGTGTGTGAAAGGGTTTCTATTGAAAGGTTTTTACCTGTGCAAGGTGGTTGGAAATTGAAGAAATATTACTTTAAGATCGTTTTTTCCTCACTTTGCGTGCGTATCTCATGTTTCAAAGTTGTTTCTTTCTTATATATAACTCATAATATAACTGATATTGGTTCTTGGCCAATTGATGTAGAACGTGATACGAACACGAGATACTCTCTCGACTGAGTGTACGAAGACAAATCATTTCATTCAAAAACTAAAGAACGTCAGATACAATTTCCCATGTTAATAAGAAAGATCATCATCGAACCGGTGAAGCTACTGGTTCGTCGGACCAGCGGTCGAACCGTTTTGATTGATATATAATTTTTTATTTATTTTATATGTATAATATATAATTATATATATTTTATCATTAATTTTATAGTGTAAAATGACATTTCTCTATATATAAAAATAATTGTATTTATTTTTTATCATTATTTTAATATGTAAAATATATAATTGTATACATTTTTATCATTATCAAATAAAAAAAATGTTAAAGTATTATACTATTATGTAAGGTTAGTATTTATTTTGTAAAATTGTAAATTTATAATAATAATAATAATAATATAATATATCTTTATTATTAAAATAAAATATCTAATTTTATTTTTAGTTTTTTTAATAAAAGAATTTGCATTTTGAGTGCTGCAAGCTCTCCAGGTCTGTTCCCTTCTCAAGGGACGTTTCTCCATCTACATTGAGCATCACTTCCCCTTTGCTTGGACTGGGACGCATACATCGAAAATAAACAGAAATGATTTTTGCATAAGGACGTAAAATAAAAAAATAAAAAATAAGCCCAAAGACTTTGCAATTTGCAATTGTCAAGTATATACCAAAAAGAAAAAGCCCAAGAATTTGAAATTTAGTTGGCCTAATTGAATGACCCAGGACACAAAGCAAGCAAAATAATAAGGGCAATTTACACATCTCTTACGTGATATATAATTAATTGCAAACATACGGATAAGGCATAAATAATAGCATTCCAACGAGATCATTGAGAAATAATTATCTTAATGTGGATTTTGAGATACCATAACAGATAAGATTCAGTTACGTGCGTAACTGACGTATAATAAAATAAATAAAAAAATAATAATAAATTTGGAAACCATTAAAACACTACAAAAATCTCGCATAACTAATTGAGCCCAAGAATTTGAAATTTAGTTGGCCTAATTGAATGACCCAGGACACAAAGCAAGCAAAATAATAAGGGCAATTTACACATCTCTTACGTGATATATAATTAATTGCAAACATACGGATAAGGCATAAATAATAGCATTCCAACGAGATCATTGAGAAATAATTATCTTAATGTGGATTTTGAGATACCATAACAGATAAGATTCAGTTACGTGCGTAACTGACGTATAATAAAATAAATAAAAAAATAATAATAAATTTGGAAACCATTAAAACACTACAAAAATCTCGCATAACTAATTGACGTGGTTTTCGAATGAAATCATATTTCAGATTTGAAAATCCAAAAGCAATTAGAGTGTGTGTACTGTCGATAAAAATATACATTCTTCCTTGATCAAGAACGAAGTTGGACTCTGCTCAACCACCGCCGGAGACCTTCGTGCCTAATCGTCTCATCTACGTGATCTCGAGTGTATATCATAGGTATATTTTATGTATATGTGTGTTCTAAAATCGATTTTGAGAAATGATTGAAACTCGAGTGTATATTTAAAGTATATTTTATGTATATGTGTGTCCTGATTTGTCGCTGACTTAAATTACTAGAATTTCGAGTGTATATTTCATGTATATTTTATGTATATGTGTATTGTACAACTTTGGTATATATTGTATATATACCCTCAACATATACCCGCAACATGTAAATTTTCATATCTGATGGTAACATATAAATCGTGTACATAATTTTCATACCCGAAACATATAAATTTTCATATCCCGAAACATATACTGTATATACCCGCAACATATACCCGCAACATGTACAAAATAGAACTATCTTTCATCGAATCAAGCACACCAAGTGTTCGACAATTATCCTTTGAGAAGTTTTTCGTTAAAACGGATTCAATCATTGCCAAAACAAACACCAAGTTATTCGTCAACAAAAAAATGAATATCAAAACAACACTAAGGTATTCGTCAAAACGGATTCAAGCACACCAAGTTTTCATCAAAATGAATATCCAAAACAACATAAACAATAATCAACCAAAAAAAAAAACAAATTTCTCATCAAGCACAAGGATGGGCCGACTTGAAACGAACAATCCTTGGTCCTGCATTAACAACAATTGACAAGGGAAAAATAATTAGCCAGCCAATCCCTTCCATTTTTCTCCTAATCTTCCTTCTCTGCAATTTACTTCAGTACAGCTGTTCCCCAACACACATTGTTGTTCTATATATTTTTTTTTTTTTTAACTCACAAACTCCCATTGTGTTAGAAAAATTCACAACTCCCACAAGAACAAAATCTAAATTTTAAGGCTCAAGTTCATCTTGCCCAGACAAAGAAATTTCAAGCCAGACCATACATCTTAAATCCGAAATTTCTAAAATTTTCGATATGACTGATGGAGAAGGAATAGGGAGAGGTGAGAGAGAATAAATGGATAGTTAATGTATAAAATCGCGTGTAACCTATCTCCTTTCCCTAATTAAAGGATAAGTGAACTAAATTTGAATTCTAATATATATGCAATTATTTTGGGGTGATTTTGTATCTTTGCAAATAAATAATAATGAAATGTAAATGTGTAATATAAAATATATTTGATTGAATTAAAGGGCCGCTGGGCCGGTGTAACCGGCTATGGTTTTCCGGTTTAAACGGTTTTTGAACGGCCCAAGCAGTTTTTTACTCGGTTTTGGTGTCCAGCGGTTTAACTCCTCTGACAAGACCGCTGACATGTCCGGTTCCCGGTCGAACCGATTCAACCGGCCAGTCCGGTCCAATTTTCAGAACACTGCTATATACTATAAGATATGATATGTTTATATTTGATATGGGATATTATATACTCAAGGATCAACCGGTCCGCCGAACCGGTTCAGAGGGTCATACCATGAAGGAATTGAGCCAGACGAGGAGAAGATCGAGAAAAATAACTTGTCGACCAGTCAAACAGTCGACCAACCCATCGCTCGACCAAACAAACGGTCGAACAATCCTATCGACCTCAGCAGGTCGAACATCTCGCGGACTCAACGCTCAACAGATCGGCCTAGTCACAGGCGCGTGAAAGAGCTTCCAGCTGAACTCCAGGAGAATATTTACCCCATGTGCAGGAGGACACGTGTCGAGAATGTATTGGGTGATAGTGATAACCACCTCTGACAGCTCCCAACGCCTTGCACCACCTCTGACATGTGCACGGTGTGTCAGAGTACGGACGGGCAGCTTGGGCAGCCAACTCATCCTTATCCGGGCAGCTATTAGGGCAGGTATCTCACCCCTATATAAAGGCGGTGAACCTTTCTCCCTAAAAGACATTCTATTCATTCTTCACTTCAGTATACTCATACACATACTGACTTAAGCATCGGAGGCTCATCACCGGACACAACCCCCGGTGTGAGAGTTACTTTCAGGTTTCCGGCGTTCTACCGGCGAGGACAAAGATCGATCCACTCCAAACCGGACCAGGACGCTTACACTTGCATTATTGGCGTCGTCTGTGGGGACTTCGTTAAAAAGTTGTGTTTGAAGCTCAGCTATGGCAGACGGAATTTCCAAAAACTTGCAGTCAACGTTCGATGAAGCTTGGACGACGACCAGGCCGTTGGGGCAGGACCCTCCTCTGGGTTTTTCCGGCCCATCGCAGACACCGATCACTCTGACGCCTATCCTTCAAGGTGTGGGAGTGACGACGGCGATCCCCGGAGGAGATGCCGGCTCCAGTCTGGCCCAGGAGGCTCGCGCAGCAGCTGCGGCGGGGATGCCACCGCCACCGCCACCAAATCCAACGGTGGTGCAAGGAGGAACTACGGCGCAAGGAGGAGCGCCACCACAGGTAGCTGTACCAGCCCCCGGCCAGCAAATGGTGACGATGACCCGGGAGGAGATGCAGAGAATAGCGGCGGCCGCGGCGGCGCAGGCGGTGCAGCAGGTTACGAGCCACACATCTCATGCCACCACTGCGCCGACCACGGTGGCCGGGAACCAAGATGAGGATGTGTCCAGTTATGGAGAGGGAGGAGTTGGAAGAGATAGGGCGATGGAGAGGATGGCGGAGCAGTTGCGCCAGTTGCAGGACAAGGTGGAGGGAAGGCCAGAGAGGAGAGCTCGGGGACATCCCTTTTCGAGGGAGATCCTCGCTGCTCCTTTGCCGAAAAATTTCAAGGAGACCAACTTGGTGTATGACGGGTCTTCTGACCCGTCGAGGCATGTGAGGACCTTTGAAAATATGGCTGTGTTACATGGATATTCTGATTCTGTTTGTTGCAGGGCGTTTCTATCGACCTTGCGCGGAGGAGCCCTTGACTGGTTTCACCAGTTGCCCTCTAAGTCGATTGCGAATTTTGAAGATTTTGCCAGCAAGCTTACCAATCAATATTTGAGCGCGGTGGCGCATGAGAAAACGTATTTGACGTTGAAGGCGATGAGGCAGGGGGAAAAGGAGTCATTGAGGAAGTATGTCGCTCGATATAACCAGACGTGTTTGGAGGTGCATTCGGCTTCAGATGAGGTGAAGGCGGGAGGATTGATAAGAAGTCTTCGAGCAGGGCCTTGTCGAACTTCCCTGGCAAAGACCCCTGCTCGATCATATGAGGAGGTCTTGAAGCGGTGCAGGAAGTATATTAATTTGGAAGA